TGTTGCAATGCAAAAATTCAACTTTTGAGATGAGAGATGCATTTTGGCTTTTCATGAAGAAACCGATTGGGCGGTTCCTTTATCGATTCCATTGTCAGATGACTTTCATACTCTGCAGAGAGAACGGCTGTGGTGTGCTAAGGGATCGACAATTATCTTAGACATGAAATCGACACGAAGCGCAACCTTTTGGGCCGATCTTGTTTATCTTATGGGTTGGGTTGTATTTGAGCCACAATTCTCGCTTCTTTCTAATGGACTCTTCTTTCTCATGGACATGGTTTTTGAGAACACGTATAAAATAATTTTTTTTAATAGTTTATTTTTTAGTTTTCGTACATATTTATATTATCAATTAATATAATATTTAAATTATACATTCTTAAATTTAGCTTTAAATATTTTTTAATTTTAAAGTAAATGCACATATGTAGTTTAAATGAATTAATATTCTTCCTAAGTTAATTTTATTGAATGTATATAATTATTTAAAACATAAGTTTCAGAATAATAATATTTTGATTTACATAATTATTTAAAAATATAAAGTTAGTTGGGGTCTTAAAGTGAGAACGATAATGTAAAAGTTGGTATTCAATTAAATATAATCTAAAATTAAAACTGCAAATTGAAAAAGTTGAAAATTACTTCTTCCCGACAAAAATGATTACTTCTCTCCGAAACCCTTCTCCTCCAAATCGCGGAATCCCACCTTCCTGTTGCTGGTTTAGTTTTCTCGCCTACCCCAGCGAAAAGCCGGCCTCTTGCCGGTGGATGGCCCTAAGCAGCACTCCTACGCCCCAATTTTGTGCCATTCTTTTTTGGTTCGAGTCATTCGGGGAAGAGATAGTTTCGTCGGTTGGTGCTCTTTTTGTGGAGGTCGCCGTTCGAGATTTTCTCGGCCTTGAAGGTGGATTCCCAGAGTTCTTTAGTCAATTCTGTCTCTGTACGGTTGTCGACGGTGGGTTCGACGGTTCCACTTCCGACGTGGGACCGATTCTCGGCTCCGACGGTGGATTTTTGGCGTCCTTTTGTCGGCTCTGTCTCAGTATGGTGGTTGATGGCTAGTTCGACGGCTTCTCCTCCGATTTGGGTCTGATTGCTGCAAGGAGGTGCGTGGTTGGGGTGTTGGGTGCGGCCCTGGCTGCTCGGCTCTTCTGAGTCGCGCGGTCGGGGGTTGAGGTGTTTCGATTCTAGCTCTCGGGTCCCTTATCCGCTGGTGTTGTGGCTTTGGGATGACGGCACGCCCTAACCTAGGCCAGTGGTGTTGGCCGGGTCTCGAGTAGCTGGTGTGTGGGGGGGCTGGTCGATACTCCTCTGGCTATGGGACGACTTCATCCTTAGAGTGGTTCGATGTTCGGGACTCGTCCTTTGATAGGCATTAGGCAGTGGCGGGAGTGGCGTTGCGGATTTTGGGTCAAGCTGTAGGATGGTTAGTCCTTATTACGCCGGTACCTTGTGTTGGGTTTAGCTTCTCGCTGCGGAAGGACCTTGTTCGTTGGTGGATTAGGTCTCTTTTTCTTAGTTTGTTCTCGTTGTGTTCGTGTTTGTATTCTTTAGGTTTGTGTTTTTTGTTTGGGCCATTTGGTCTCAGTGTACCCGAGAGTCAACTTATTATCCTGTTGGGATCAGACACTCGCGTATAATCCTGGCAGGATCGTTTTTTTAGTAGTTTCATTTTTTTTGTTTGTGTAATCGTTCTAGCGTAGTTTCGAGTTTTATTATTCTAGCTTTGCTAGCGTCGGGATTCTAGGCGGTATTCTGACTAGCTGTCTTTCCACTTTTTCAGTTGTTGGTTGTTCCATTCAGGTAAGAACTGCTTCTATTCGCACACTTGTGCATTTTGATTTATAATAATATCTATCGTTTAGGAAAAAAAGAAAAAGAAAGAAAAAAGAAAAAGAAAGAAAATTACTATCGTGACACAATAAGCCCTAATTTCCTTGCAAATTGCAATATTAATTATATATGGGGACAAAATTGTAACACAGGACTACACGAATGGAAGTCTCATCGTCTACCAGCAATTTTCTCCATAGTAATTAGGCTTATTTCATGTCCTACGCATCAGATATCAGTCTCCTGTTAAAGACGCTTCGCTCGATCTTCTGTCGCCGGCCAACAACTCTTTAGATCCCTCTTTGGAAACTGGTAAATTGAATTTTCCTTGATACGTTCTTCATGATTTGCTCTGTTTGTCCTCTATTCGAGGTTTATTTTTATTTTTAGTAATTCAAAGCTTATCGAGAGAGGAATCGGGTAAATTAATTAGCGAATTTGGCTGGAAATTTTAGGGTTTCTGTTCAAATTGTGAATTCCTTAGCCTAAGCCGCATGTTAATGTCTTTTTCTTGGTTCTGTCCTTTGAAAAGTGGCGTGCATTTCTGCAATTTTCTGTATGGAGACAACTATTTGGCAACTGAATTTTTTGTATACCAGTGGCAATGTTAGTTGAAATGAGGTTTCCTGCAATACTGTTGTGCTCATTGCTTTGCCATTTGTGATTTTTCTTGGTTACTTTGTTTATGAAATTATCACCGGAAATTTTGGAAGAAGAAAAAATGAATGACGGGACTTATATGCTCGATTTTCGTGATACGGGTGGTTCTTCTGTTTAATAGAAAACAAAGAATATCAAGTTAAAAGTTCTTCAAATATGCTGGAAAAACTAATGAAAATTAAATTAAAAATAATGACTATTTGGGAATTGGCTTTAGCCCAAGTGGTAAAGAGCATTTTTTTCATGGTCAGTTTCCACGAGTGCATGTGTTGGGTGATTTTCTGTATTTATTGTAATGATAGATATTGTTTCATCTTTCGCGACCAAGGTGCTTATGACTGCTACTTTACTATGTGTCAGGAGTTATTTATTTCCCCAGCCACTGTTCGACCCAATAACATTAGGCGGACATAAGCTCTTCTCAACGATGGACATGCCTGAATCTCCTTCGCCACAATCACCCGCTTTATTATCAGACGATCCACTTTCAAGCCCGTATGCGTCACTAAACTCCCATTGCCATGAACTCTCCACCCTGCAGGACCTCGCTTTCCGTGGCGCGTGGCGAACCATCCTTGACAAGGTGGCTCGTTCACGTTCTCTCTCCCTCCTCACCAAGCCCCACGAGCACCTCATTTACCTCACTTTCAACCTACTCGCTCTCGTCAAGCTCAGCCGCTACTCAGACGCGCAGCACGAGCTTCAAACCATGGACGAAGATCTCGACTCGAAACAATACCGATTCGAATCATACCCGGAACACTACCCGAACCACAAGCCCGGATCCATGGTCCCTTTTGCCCTCCGTTGGCTGCACGCTCACTTGCCATTAACCCTAGGTGACCGTCAACTATCTCTCGATCGCCTTTACACTCTCCTGCATTTCATTCGTGAGAAGAAATTGGCCCGAGATCCAGATTCAATCAGTGATGTATCTCTAACCCTTTGGAAAAAGCGAGAGACTTTTGTAGTCAATACTATTGTCGGTTATCATTTGAGTCAGAAGGAGTTCATGGTGTGTTTGGCCTTGCTGAAGTCCGAGATAGCAAACAATGAGGACCCTTTAATGATTTCACAACTAGGGTACGTGCAAATGCAGTATGGTGATTTGGATGGTGCAAAACGGAGCTTTGAGTTGGTGGATAGTATGGCGACGGGGGCTGACAGTGGGGATGTGAAGTTAAAAAATTTGGTGAGCAGGAATAAAGCGTTGATGTATTTGGTTGGGAAAGATTATGTATCGGCTGTGAGGGAGTACGAAGAGTGTATAGAGAGGGATGGATCGGATTATGTGGCGATTAATAATAAAGCTCTCTGTTTGATGTACTTGAGGGACTTGTCGGATTCAATTAAGGTGTTGGAGAGTGCATTGGAGAGGGTGCCCACTGTGGCATTAAACGAGACGCTTGTGGTGAATCTCTGCAGTATGTACGAGTTGGCATATGTGAACCATGCAGATGTCAAGAAGACTCTCAGTACTTGGATCGCGAGAGTTGCTCCGGACGATTTTGATTCCTCGTGTACCAGGATTTGAGGTATAAATCGTTTGAGTGCAACGGTTTTGTGGGATTTAATGTGTCCTGTTTGTTAGAAAAGAAATCTTGTGTCTTAAATGGCCTGCCCTTGATGATGATATTGTACCAAAGAAAATGAAGAGAGAAAAAAACAAAGGTGCTTTTCCTTTCTAGCTTTTTTTCGGCTACTCGTTTCTCTAAATCTTTAATCCGTTTTTATTTTTTTTTCTTTATAAAGTTGAACTATAAAGTTGAATTGCTCTTCCGAAAATACAAACTCAAATTTGCAGAGCAACTCCTCTCCTTCATTCGAAATTATCATCTGGGCTGTGTTTATGATGATGTATGTTTTTGTTGAAAATGTAATTGTAGCAACTAGGCCGAATCCTTTTCGTTTTCGAAGCAATGCCGTGTTTCATTTTCAGTTTCTGTGAGTCGTTGTGCGAGCGTCCATTTTATCTTTCATTTTTTCTCTTGCATGTTTCATCTAATGCTTATATTCGAATGGATTGGCCCTAACGGTTTCGCGCTAGTCCTAGCGGGCTTCATGCTAAACGGTCCAAGAAAAAAAAATGCACTTATTTAAGCGTACCGGAAAATAGAGGACCTAACCCTGTTTTTTTCCGGGCTAAATGGACTGGCCCAACGGGCTTTAACCCATTTAACATCTCAAATTATATCTGTAGTAGTTACTTGTTAATGAATTGCATTGGCTTGCTCAAATATTTACGGAGGTATAGTGATATCAGAAAACAGCCAAGTGTCGGTAATTGTTGAATACTTGGTTGATGTTTTGGAGTATTCTGATCAGAAAAAACTTTGTGCCCGAGTATATACTAAAAGCCCAAAACGGATTTGTTTTGGTATTTTTTGGTAGGGATTATATGGTGTGTATTTATTTATTGATTAATTGTTTTTTATAAGCTCTTAACATCTATAGCACATAAGTATACAACTCTAGCACATGAGAACTTAGGGTGTAAAGTACTATTGATTTGTGGTAATTCTGATCACGCGTCTTTAACGTTTTACATTGATAAGAAAACAAAATATGAACCGTCTTAAAAAACTCAACTTTTGCCAAAAATGAAATGTGTGTAGGACAACACGGAACGTTCTTCCTTTTGTTGCTAATTACTTGGAAACATTTCCAAAGTTGAAATTCTCATCAAGAAGCAAGTCCTCCCATTCCCATAAATTGCTTTTTTCAACATTTGTTGTCCATACTGTCCTATCCCCCAATGCCTCCTGTATGACAAGAAAATGGCCTTTACTTGCAGCTCAAAGATGATTAGAAAATTAAGTGTTAGGGCATTATTGAATTGAAAAATAAAATAAAATAAAATAGTAGATTTTGGGATAGTATACCTCAGGTTGGGGATTAGGAGGAGTCGTATCTTGGCTTGCTTCTACTAATGGTGGATGAACTTGATATGGGTCTTCATCTTGACCGGTAGTTTGCATTTTACTAGGACGATCTTCTTCTCCATAGTTATTATTGATACTCGAGCCATTACCAAGATTTAGGCTAAGTTGACCTATTTCATCTTTTATTATACTCGAGAATGGATTCGAGTTCAAATCTGCGTATTGCGAGCTGGTCGTGTTCATCTGGTCAGAGTGAGGTGTAGGAGTTGTAGTCATTGTGGTAAACGTGAATCTGTGGAAACCATAGATAAGTTCGAAGAAATATTAGGACTTAGATTCGAAGAAACCATATATGCCGAATTCAAATCACATGAAATTGCTGTTTTCTTGGAAAATACTGGTAACAGCTAAAATGTAATTGTTTTTTTACCTTGGAAGCTCGCTGTTGCACATGCTCTGGGTGGAGTCTTGAATTGCATTTGGAAAAGATGATGTCTGTGTAAGGATTTTCGACGATCCCTGTGTTAATTAAGATATTATAATTACTGCCGTTTCTAGAATATAATAAATGAAGTATGCTGTCAAAGTACCATGGAGAAGAGATTCCAGGCATTAGCATTATGTTCTTGAGGAAAGCTGGGTAAAGCTTGATCCAGCACAAATGGTTGCTGCAGTAAATAATTGATATGCTTTAACGAAGAAAACCCACAAATAGGTTCTTGAAAATTTCATATTTCGGTTAAAATATTTGTACATGTTGTGTAATTTGCGATGGCGGGATTTGAGCATTTAGTTTCACCATAGGCCCTGATTCGAAGATGACCGAACAATGTTGGATAGGAGAGTTGCATATAATTGGTTGGATAGGAAAGTTAGATGCATTTGATGGCCCAGGATTCATGTTAGGCATGTATCCCGAATGATCAAGCGCGTCTTGAAATATGTTATCCCGGATTATGGCTCTACATGAAAAGGGAGAATCATTATGGTTAGTATCACTTTTTTCGGTAATACGAACATGAAACAACATTACACTGTTTTTCTAATAAGTTCACCTGTACGGGCTTATCCAAGGATCGAGTTGCATCAGAATTTGCCCGGTGGTAGGGTTTTGTTGTGGTGCTAAAGTCGGTTCATTCTCGTTCAAGTTAGAGGGAAATGGAATGTTGTTGTCTTGGTTCTCGAACTCCATCTGATCCAATGTTACTAAAAATCCCAAGTATGTACATAGAGGAAAAAGTATAATATCATGCAATTTTGTCATAGAAACCCTTACTTGAAAGTTTGGTGGTGTAGAAGATGTTGATGAGTTGCCAAATAAGGCATTCTATAAAAACAAACAAAGTTGGAGGCACAAAGTTGAGTATCAATTGACATTTGATATGATTGAAGAAGACTCAGCATGAATATTACATACAATTTGAAATGGAATAGCTTAGGTTTTGGACTTACTTTTCTAGCTATGACTCTTTCTAATGAGTTCTTTATGTTTCTTTCACACCATGATAATTGGTGCAAAGAGGGCTCTTGCTCGGGATCTAATTCGTAGTCCCTGCATAATGTTTCGAGAATCACGATTCATGTGGTCTGATGGTTAGGTCGATCTAATATTTATTACTTTTTCGAATAAAAATAATGTATTATAGTTGTATTGGTGGTAATGGGACAAGTCGGGTTGTGGACCTACATCTAGCCTGCGGGCTTGGGTAGGGCCCGATGTTGGCCTAACCCTTTTTTTTCTTAATTTTTTGGTAAATATTTTGTTCTTTATATATAATATTGTTTTTTACAACGGTATATTTTAAATTGTGTAGAGTTTATAACAATTTATCTTTACATATATAGGCCGACAATGCCTGGTCGGGTAAGGATGGAACAAAAAACGGGCCAAACAGTGTCTGGTCTGGACCGGTTTATTAAACGGAGCGTAACCGGTTGGCCCATCGGGTGGGTTTAGGCCAAATTGCTACACTCAGCTACCATTCAAGGGTATTTTTTAACTAACAATGAAGGGCTTCAAAATTAACAGAGAGTTATTACCTCAAATCAGCTTCCAAAATTTGCAGCTCTAGACCACTCTTTTTAATTTGCAGTTCAAGATTCTGATAAGACAATATGATTGCTTTTAGTGAACAAAAACGAAACAACAACAACAACAACAACAACAACAATAATAATAATAATAAAAATAATAATAATAATAACAATAATAATAATAATAATAATAATAATAATAATAATAATAATAATAATAATAATAATAATAACTTTAGCGTGCTCAAAAATAAGGGTACCTAGGAGAAAAAATTACCTCAATTCTTGCATTGTATTGATGCGTTTCAAGAATCACAACATATTGCAGAATTCGACATGCATCAAAATCAAATAATTCTAGTCAGATATACTAAATTAGGTAGGATTATATCAAGATAAAACATATATTCAACACTTTATGTAACAATTAACTCTGAAAATTTAGTAAAGAAACAAAGCTATATAAAAAGAAGAAAAAATAAAGTCCAATTAAGTGGTCAAAAGTTAGGCCATGAAATTTATCAGTGTTTTCGGTTTGGTTCGGCCCAACGTGTCGGACCAGGGCCACATTTGACTCTGGTCGGGCATTTGGACCGTTTACAAATCTCTTGTTCAACCCAATTGACCCAACCCCAGTTGGTCAGGTAAGACTTTTCTTTGAATATAATTAATTTTAGAATAACATATATATTTATATATTTTGGTAAATATTTATGATGAGAGTAAATAATATTAAGACTTTCAGCCTTAAATTTTACATGAAAACAATTTATTTTGTTATATTAATATTTTCTAGCAATAATAATAATAATTTTTTTTTAAAATTCTATAGCTCTAAAAACACTCCAAGAGAGAGGGAGAGAGAAGTTACTGTTTGTCGAGGTACTGTAATTTGTTTGTTTCACTCATAATGTGATCAAGTTGCCGCAACTTTTCCATCTTTCTCTTCATGCAAATAAAATAAAACAGTAAAATTTTATAATGGAGATGCTACCGTCCCGT